TCTTTCCTTAAGAAATAAACCCAGGCCTTGAAACCTTTCAGGTGAAGCGATGTTTGCAAAAAGACATCTTAGATCTTTGTACTTTCCTCCTTCATGAACAGGCAAAGTTCTCCTACATCAATGAAAAAATGTGTCTGTGTTTTTTTGGAATTAAACAAGATAAGGCAATTAAATATTGAGAAGCAGTCACGTGAACAATGAACATGAACCTTCCCATCAGTAGTGTGGAAGAGGAGGAGCTGAACTGGATCTGATTTATAACCCCATGTCCTAGGCTAGGCCTGAGGATGTCCATCTCTTGTAGCAAGGAAGCAAACAGTTGCCTGCATAGGTAGCATCTTGCCCATGCTCTTTTAGTGGATGGAAGATGCTAAGCAGGTGCTTGCTAAACTGAAGGCCATGAAAAATCATTTGGCTCTTCACCATAACATCAAACCTAATTCATAGGTTTTTGGCCCCCAAATCCCAAATTGCACGTCAATCTGATTTTGAAAGTTTACGCTTAACATGTCGGGGGGGTTCCCAAGTATCACTGTCATCCGTTTCTTCCTCATCTTCCTGATCTTCCAGCATTTCGTCTTCCTCCTCATTCTCATCAAACAGCTCTATTCCAAGTTCTAACCTTCTCTGCCTTTCTGCAAACCACTCTCTGACCTGCTCATATCCCATGTGAGATTTGGCTACCAGTTCATCGAGGTCTTGCTCATTAAGGAATTTGTGCTTCATATAGTAGTCCTTCAGGATTGCTGTTCCAGTTTTGAATTTTATGACAGACACACCTCTGTCCCAGCAATTTAACCTCTTGCTTCCCCGAGGCCTCCCCCGAGGTCTTCCTCTCCCCCTCCCTTTTGGTCTTCCTCTCCCTCTCTTCCTTGCAAAGCCTTGGCCATTCAGACTGTTTGCACTGGCGCTCTGGTAATAATAATACCATTTCAATCCACCATTTTTCCAAGCATAGCGAGTATCTCCAAACCAGCTCACAATTTCTGATCTTGGGAGCCCAGTTTCTTCTGCCAGCTTGTTGTATTCTTGTGGAGATGGCCACTGAGTACGGACAAAGGAACTTTTAAGCATGTGCAACTGCTCTGGTGATTTTTTGCCTATTTTGCTTGAAGTGGAACACCCTGATTTTGCTCCTGCTGCTCCATCTCCCACAGATGTTTCTCCAGCCTCTTCTTTTGAGCTGCCAGCATTGCTCTCATTCAAGTCAGCTCCCTCTTCCTTTAAGACGTTTGATTTCCTTCTTTCTGTAAACCAGGCATCAATCTCTCTCCTGGTCAGTTTGGTTTGGGCTCTTAACCTATTCATCTCTTCATCAGTAAGGACAGGGTTATTAAGAAAACTTGCCTGGAGGATTTGCAGCTGTTCAGCAGTCTTCTCTTTGAATTTCTGTGGGGTGAAATCAGGAAAAGCGCTCCACGATGACTTGCTCTGTGGAGTGACTCCCGTTGGGGACTCATTCATTTCATCACTTGAATCAATAACAATGGTGGCACATGAATCACTGTTGAGATGAATCCCATGATTATTCTTTGAGTTTCTCTGATTGTAGCGTGTATCACTAAACCACTTTTTGATCTCTCCTTTAGTCAGGCCTGTTATTTTCATTAGTCTAACAATTTCTGAATCTTGAGGAAACTGATTTTTAAGGTAGCTGACTTTCAATTCTGCCAGTTGTTCCTTAGTTTTTTTTGCTCGGATCCCGAAGGAGTCAGGATTCATCAGTGCGGATTCATTTTTGATAGGCTGAGGGGCTGGAACAGCAGCTACTTGTTTGGTTTCTGCAATAGGCTGAGCAGTGTGAATCTGACTCTTCTGTAACTGTGTTTGGTTTGGGACTCCCGCTACAGTCAAAGCTATGGGGGCTGTTACTGGTAACGTATTTGCACCTGCAACTTGAGTCAGAACAAGTCCTGGCTGACCAACTATTTGGCATGTCTGTAAAATTGAAGGTAAACCATTGCTAGCGGCAGAAATGTGGGCTGGAATAACAGTAATTGTCTGTGGCACAGTATGCACCGTGCCATTAAATTGTTTCCTCCTTGCTTCCTCCACTTCCTCCGGTGTCCAGCTCACACCATGTTTCAGACGCTGGGCAGAAAACCATATTTTAATCTGTTCCTCTGTGTACTTGGCTTGAGTGGAAAGAACAGTGATTTCCGACATGGTTGGATATGGGAATTTGTTGTAGGTATTAAGCAAAAGCTGATTGTTATCCAAAGCAGTATTATAGGCTGGAATGCTATTTACAGGTATTAGGACTTTTGGAATCAGGTTTGAGTTCTGTGGAGCTGTAACAGCTGTTATAACCTGTGCCACCCCAGGCTGAAGCACTGGTGCTGGAGTCACTACTGCACTAGCCACATCTGCTGCACTGCAAACAACTGAATGGCTCGCTTTTGACTCTGAAACTGCCGGTGGTGGGTTTTCTACTACTTCTTCAGAGTTTGGCTCATTTTCAGTTCCCTTTTCTTCACCAGGAATGTCATCAACCACATTGTGGAAAACAGCAATACGTTTAGTCTCCGTTTTGTTTTTCATCATTTTCATAATAGGAGTTTTGCTAATTGAGATCCCCGATGAGGGGACCTCGGAAGAGTCGGCCTGTTCAGTATTTTCTTCTCTAACAAAACTCCCATCAAAAGTAAGATCGTTTACTGTTTGTTCAAAGATTGTCTGATTATTACGTTTCACCATGGTCAATTTAAAATTCTCCTCTCCAGGGTGGTACTTCATATTATGTTCTGAGAGAGCATCGTATCTTTTGGTAAGGAAATTGCATTCTACACAAACGTAGGATGAATTTAATACTACATTGGGATGTTCTGAATCCACGTGAAAAGTAAACATATTGAGATCTGGAGTTTGAAAAGTACAGTATTTACACTCATAACCACCTTCTACTTTATTTGTATTTTTCTGATTGTCTGAATCCACATACTCATGAAGATCCTCATCACTTGTTACGCTCTCTGCTGTAGGGTTATCTGCTGGCGCAAGTACAGGTGGTCCTTCCTCCAAGTCTGATACCATTTCTAGATCCGGATCCTGCTCGTTGGCTAAGACCATACACGGTGTTGTTGATTTTCGTTTACTTGCCATGCCTGTTATATGAAAGTGATACTGACTGGTCAGATACAGACTTAGCTTCAAGCTCTTCTTGATTAATAATAATGGCTTTCGGTACTTCAAGTCAGTTCTTGTAAAGTCTCAACATTTATCCCATTAGCAGCTTTTCTTTTGTAGTGCAATCAGATTAAAAAGAGATAGTTGAGGATGAAATGTTGAGACACACTGTTCTAAAGTCCACATCCACCACCTGTAGCAAAGAAGAGACAGTGGAATTAGTTCAATTTAATGAGTAACTTCTATTCTGCTACATATTTTGGCTTAAGGTAATTCAGTCCTTTGGGGTTCAATCTGCCACTGTTCACCCCCTGAAACCAGCACACCCATTCCAAAAAGAGGTGCTCGAAGCTAAGCTAAGAAAGGCAAAATCCAATCTGCTTATTACAGGCTGAAATTTGTTTTAGTTCATGTCAATGCAGTGAAAGGCATAAAACGCAGGATGATGTAAAACAGATAACTTTCTGACTGTTTCCCTTTCTTCAGAAGCCTTTTTCTTGGCACAATGCTGAGGTCAGTTGTCCTACATAATTTTTGCAGTCATGCCTTTAGACTGCTTTGCCTATGCTATGACAACTTCTCTAGACTGCCTTGTGAGCTCAAGTCCTTCCTATCACAAACTCGACCTCAGTATGACACCTCCACTACTGACTCTGTCATGTCTTTCACGTCAGAGGTTGTGAAGGGGTTTAGAGTGTTTTTCTATTGCATTATATATGCGAGCATGAGCATGTGCAGGGCCTTTCTCCCCAGTCTGAAAACAGGCAAAACAATGCCTTTTTAAGGCACTCTGACAGACAAAAGATGACTATCCTTTCTTCCTAGCTCCCCAAATGTCATTCTCCAACTGAAGACCAATCCCAAACCAATAAAAGTTGATTGCTAGCACATGGCAATTAACTAAAATCTGTTTTCATGCCTCTATGCATTAACAGGGACATGATTGATTGTGTGAACTGTACCAGAGAGAAAAAGCATTAAAGACTGATACAGCAAGCAGAAGCCAAACAAAATTATGTATTTTCTCTTCAGAATTCCTTGTCCATTTCTAAGAAAAACTGAAGTACCACCAAATAAATGTGAGGCCTACAGAAATTCAGAGAATAAATATCATCTTAAATAGCATCAACTGGAGCGAGATTTATCCCACAGGGACCACAACTAGTCTGCTGGAAATGATGCACAAACTTCTGTAGAGGGTTATAAACTCTGTAATAGTTTTCTTCTTGAAATAAAATCAGACACTGATTTCTCATACCAGAAATCCCATAGGGACATGAATTTTTAGACAGTGGAACATCATCTACTTCCCAAAGTGGGGGCATGCTCAAGTTCAAGGGGAATACTCAGCAGCTGTTTCAGAAGGTTTAGAAAGGGAACAGCATGTAACAGGTTAAAAACAGAAGGCCAGCTTTGTTCACAATGAAGTCTAAAGGAAGAAGAACAGTGTAAAAGGAAGAAAGACAGTTAAAAGAAGTGAGAAGGGGAAAAGAAATACTATTTTTCACCGTATGGTAACATGATTCTTTCTTTTTGATTACAGGAGGCAGAGGCTGTGGATAGGAAGGAAGACAAATAATTCTTAGCATCACATTTTTTCTTTAGGCAAAAGACAAAAGTGTTCATCCATAGCTGTCACCCAGTGCTGCTCCATAAGCTCTGTTTTTGAAACTCTTTGCCTTACCTCACTTCTTCATAAAAATCCTGCCCAAACGTTTTTAACAGTCACCTCTGCACTTCTGTGCCTACATCCAAAGTGCACAGCCCGACATGACAGGCTTTTTATGCCAAGGATATGGTTACACGGCATTAAGGACACTGACAATGCTCAATTGGGTGATCATCATTCCAGGATGACAATTATTTAATAGTACTGGAGTTGAAAGATACCCTTCTTCCACAAGTTAATGCTGGCAGTCTGTAAAACCACACAGAAGTGTAAAAGATACTTATTTTAATGTATATACAAAGTATGTATTGCAGGCCATCTCATTTATCTTTGCAGTGAGAGAACCATGAAGCAAAGCTAAATGGATCCATTTGTCTCGGTGTCCTGAGAGATGAGAGGTAGAGCATATAATAACTGTACTGCTTCTCTGTGGGGCTAGAGGGCTCTTGACAAAAGACAGATAACTGCCAAGACTCAATGTTGAGCAATGCTCTTGGGGAAGAGCTGGGTGGTATTACCTAATCTTTCTGCGATCTTGAGTAAAATTTCAGAAATGCCAGAAATGCCCATTTTCAAAAGTTACTTAACAGCTCGTTTTGCTGACTGGAGTTTGAAAAGCAACTGCGGTACTCTGCAGCGCCTCATCTCTAGTGCAGCACGTAAGATCTATACGCAGGGCAGCCTGAGTGAGCTTAAGGACTTGCTGAGGGTCCCATTCTGGGATGGCACAGAGCGCAAGTGAAAGCAACGTTTGACCTGACATGCAGTGTTGAAGCATGCTCGAGATAAGGCCGGAGATAACGAATAAAATGGGAAACCTGTCTCAACAAATCAGTAAGTGTTTTTCTCCAGTCCCCTCATTTACCCAATAGCGCTTACGGTGCCTGTAAGCCTACAGGTCCACGTGCAATTGCATCACCTGCAGCCTTTTAGCTAAATCTCTGTATCATATCTCTGTTTGCTGTGGTTCAGTTTCGCTCACGGTGCACAGGCAGATTATCCTATTCCTCCACTGTTTACCAACTGAGCAACACATTTCTTTGATGCAAGCAAGTCTCAGGAAAAGAAAGCTGCATCTACACTCTTCTGACTACACTATGCAAGATGTTTTTTTTTTTTTTAAGGATGTTGTGATTTCAAAACCCTGTTTAATTCAGGGCTATGAAGAGCTATGACAGCATTCACTAAAATCTCAACAAAGCGAGATGCCTGCAACCCTTCCCAGCCTTCTTTCCTCTACAGTCTTTACAGAAACCTCCGTTCCCTTCTCCTTGGTGCTAACGGGATTATTCCATCTGTAGCACCCTGCTTGACATGTTCTCTCGGTTTACCAGGGGATTATGAAATTCACACTCAAGTAGTCCTGTACTGCTTACAGGAACGCCATGTGGGACCTTGCCATGTATCTTGACTTCTGTAACGTTTGTAACATCCCGTTCCAGTAGGCCAATTATTCCAGCAAAAAAGGAAATCAGATTGGCTTGACATAGACTGGTTTTGACAAATCCACCTTTTTAAGAACCTTGTTACAATTTTCTTGGTTCTTACAGACTGATTTTTAGTAAATTCTTCCTGTGTCATCCTGGGAATGAAGATCCCGTTAATCGATCTGTGATTCCCTACATGTTCTTCTCTGCTCATGCCTCTCCCTCATTTAAGACTAGGTACTATGTTTGCCTGTCTCAAGTCCACTGAGACCTCTCCCCATCCTTCATGAATTCCTGAAGATGATCACTAATGGTTCAGAGACTGCTTTGGCTTGTCCCTTACATGCTTTAGGGTCAAATACATGACTTAATATTGTTTAAGATTTTCTATTTTTATCTGGACTGTATTTTTATCCCTCGCTGTTAATATTGAAATTATATTGTGCAATTCAGTTTGTAATGAAATATTCCAGGTGTTTCTTTATGTCAAAAGCAATGAAAGAATCTGGAGAATCTGGAGGAAAACTTTCAATTAGTTGCACTCTTAACCCCTCAAGACGTTCATCACTGCAATCCCCTTCTGTAGTTTTACTTCAGATTTTCATACAATTGACATTCCTAGCAAAACCAGCCCACAAAACAGACATTTTTCCAGGAACATAAAAAAGTAAGTGCAGGCATATTTTTTTTGAAGGTCTGGGATCTTATATTTTATCTTTAAGCAAGCAATTGCTCAGGACACCCCTCTTCAGAAACAGACCATAAACAGTTAATAATACCAATTCATTAATAATTATATTAAGACAGATATATTCCTGCATAGAATTCAACATTTAAAGTTGTCTCTATAGCAGATTTGTATAAAAATGTATATAAATATTTTCTGAATGCAGGCAGAAACTTTCTGCCCCTTTGATTATAGTTTGAGAAGGAAAAGACAAAGTGTTGACAGCAGAAGACACATGTAGAAGAACCTCCACAAATTTTTTACCCACCTCTTCCTTCCCTCCCCCAAACAGGAGTAGCTGATGTAGCAAGAAAATAAATGAGATTCCAGAAAGTGTTTACTGCATGTTCAGGTTGTATGCTCTATGAAAAAGTATTTCTCCCTGCTTGCTGTATGACACTTCCATCCAGCATGCAGAAATAACGTGCCAACAAAAAATTCAAACCCAAACAATATGATTTTAAGAATATGCACAAACAGGGTGGCTCAGGAGAAGATGAAGTAATAGCAACTGCTTCTAACCTTTAAAATCACCTAGATTACAAATTGCCTACGATCTCTCTCAACACAGAAAACGTTGTTTTGTCTTCTCCTTATAGCTTCTGATTAATCCATGACAATATACAATTGTTGATCCTTTGTTTAGCCTCTTTCTAACTATTACCATTTATTCAGAGTAGATGTATCCATGTCAAAAACTATTCTGCACAGGGCTCAGTACAGGGTAATCTGCTCTGATCTGTGCTGCCTATCAGCGAGAAGGATGAAGGACTTTGTTTTATAGTGCCACTTCTTCACTCTCTAAACCCTGCAATACTCACATTCGATTCCCATTTTAAAATGAGATCTGGTTCTAATTCAACACGGGAGCAAAACTTGTCAAACTGATTTCAAGTGTGCTACAAAGATGAGGGCATGCTTAGGGTCCTTGCTGCATTACAATTTGGAATGAGGGAGGCATGTACCAAAAGCTACTGTACTGCCTGCCTACACACAGCTTTGGGGTATACCAAAGCCAGACCTGTGCTGGAGCACTAGGAAGCTGACACGAAGCCCAGCAGAGGCTGAAAGGAGCCCGCCACAGGACATGCAACTAAACCTTCTCAGTTACCTCCTATCCCCACTGGTTTTAATGGATTACGAGCAGGTTCTATCAAAGTAAATATCAGAATTTC